AAAAATAGGCATGGAATTTGTCTAATTCTACAACGAGGAGGTACCATAGAAATACATACAGACTTTTTAGGAATACAAATAATACTGTTTGATACAGAGTAAATACAGCAAATAGCAACTAGTCTTTTAAGACCTTTAACTGACGGACAAAGTAATACAATGTCATCAGCATAAAATAGGTGATTCATACACTGCCCACTTTACAAAACAACCAATTTTCTCAAGACATTAGATCTTTACTCAGTTTGTCCATATATACTACAAAAAGACGAGGAGATAATATTCCCCCTTGTCTGACACCATTTAAAGCAGGGAAAGACATAGACATAGATAGTCCCCATCTCACAGAGAATTCATGGTTTCTAAACCAGAATACAAGTACTCGGACTAGAAACACAGGCATATTCCTGCCAAGAAGCTTACGAAACAGGATCCATTGATTAATCCTATCGAAAGCTTTAGAAGCATCTAAAAAGCAGAGGAAAACAGGACTGCTATGAGTTTTATAAAAATTTACAATCTCTTTCAATACAAAAATACACATATCAGTAGAGTGACTCTGTTTGAAACCAAACTGATGATCAGTAGTTGTAAGAAAAGTTTCACATCGAGACAAAATAATCAGTTCATACACTTTAGAGAGAACTTCTATTTTCACGCCATAACAGGAAAGCATCGCGTGCTATAGTATGATACTCCTTCACATTATCATTCCAACCAGGCACACACCTTCCTGTTTTTTTTGCATTGAGGGGAATACAGTCCTTGGCCGCCTTACATAGAAATTTTGTGATATCATTGTATAAATTATCAATGGTATTTAAATGCGTGGTGTTCTTACAATCAGTGTCCCTACAAACAAGAGCATCGGCAGAAATATCAATTGAAGCACCTGTGCGTTAAAATGGCGTATTCAGTAAGCGAATCGTCACTTACACCATACCAGTCAACACAGCTGGAATTAATATAATGAGTAAATGCAAAATCAAAACGTTGGCAACATTCCAGATCACATTAAGTGGAAAATGATCCGAACCTAGAATATCATGTAAAATATTAATATCTGTAATAGTTTTGTGAGCGGCAGGTGTAGCAACGCAGTGGTCAATCCAAGATGTTGTATGATGGGCTTCACTGTAATATGTAAAATTACAGTCACCAGTAACTAATATTTGCAAATCTGACCAAACAAACTCATTATCATCACAATAGTTGCATACTTCATTACCAAAAGTAGAGTGGATATCTACAATCATAACACAATTTCTACTTGCCTCGTCCACAATAGCTCTAAGTTTACATAAATATTCAACATACTCGTGAAAATTATTGTCGCATTCGGTTGGCATATATACATTGACAATTGTTAATTTTCTATCTGAATTGCCAATTTCCAGACCAATAAGTCTGCTATCACTATAACGTTTAATTTTGACATTGCCCAAAGTTTTTCACCATAATATCGCAACTCCACCATAGGGCCGACTAAGCCTTATGCCACACTCTTCATTCATAGCAGTTTCACCCATTGTATTAAAATCATTACTAACATTTGATAACATACAAAGTTCTGATTTTGTGAGCCAATGCTCCTGCAATAAACAAACATCACTTCGATCACAGATATCCTTTACCGATTGAATTGAAGATTTAACTCCTTGGCAGTTATAGGAAGTTATTCTCAGCTTCATGTTGATTTTTGATTTCACGATGGATAAAATCTTCGAATCAATATGCCATTAGGCCAGTTATCTGCGTTCAACAAAGTTTTGCTAGTGGCAAAA